ATTGGAAGAAACTTTAAATACTCAGTTTCTGGAGGAATTGTGAGAAATGATGTTCCCATTGTTAAAATAAATATCAATTTTATCCTCATTGTTAACAATATGATGCATATAGGGGAATGTTTCAAGACTAAGACTTTATTAATGACTGACTTACCCCCATTGAGGACACTTGTGTACAGCCACAATCATACTGATTCTTGATGGGCCAAATATCACCATGAATTGTTTGTAAGATTGATTTTTGTTTGATCTTAATGCTTTTGTTAAATTTTGTTCTGTTTATTGATGAGGCAGTTAAATTCAGCATAAGTTTAACTTCTTTCGTTTGTGTTTATAAAATTCCCTTGTTATAATTTGAGCACTAGAAGAAATTAAATGTGCTGTGGGCTACAAAGACTAAGATTTTAGGAAACTCTAGCAGAGTATTTGAGAGGAGACAGTATCATGAGAAGTTTGAATACTAGTGATCAAAGCAGTGGGTTTACAACAGTGTGGATATGTATTTATTCTTATAGAATTGATTAATTATGAAAAAGTAATAGTATCACATTGTCCTAGCTTATCACATAATTTTCAATAGACAATTACGATGTTGAGTTGGTACTGGTTTTAAATTCCAACCGGATAATGACCCAAAACTTACTGCCTGCTGAATAAAAATTATATGGGTACAAAAAGAGCTGCAAGAATGATATAAGAATTGTAATTATGATATAATTAATTGAAAAGTAATGCTGCTAGAGAGAAGCCAATAAATTTAAGACAACGTTGGGATACTGTGCAACTGTCACAGTTAAAAAGAGTTGTAATATTTATTTCACCCTTTGATAGCTAGGAAAATATATCTTTAGTTAGGTAATTATTTTCAAAATTTTCGTGCAGATGTTGATGACTTTTCAAATAAGATATGAAAGGTCATAAATTTGCACTATTCCTCTATTTTAAACAAATGCTACATACCAGAATACCCCTCTATGAATCAATGGTAAATTTACAGACTTAGAGCAATAAATCCATTGTTAGGTTCCCTGCAGTAAACAGGGTGCAGACAGCCCATTATGTAGCTTTCTGCTAAATCAAAATGTACCTAAATAACTGTTCAGTAAGGTAAGGCTTATGCTTGTTTGACCCTGTATCTGTACTGTCGTTCCTCCGGGCATACTCAACTTGATGAGTAAAGAAACTTAAGGGGTTATGTATAATGAGAATGATTGTTGATATAAGTAATCTTAGATTACGAGGTATTGCACTAAGAATTTTCATTCTAATTTAAAGAGCGTAGTATCATTTTTATTTACATTTCTGACTTGTCTTGGGCAGACGTAAACAAATCTTTGTCTCTGCTTAAATAGTGTCAAAATCGACCAGTGATGTGCTATAAGACAAACTATATTACTGGGAATGGATATTTTGTGTTATTTGTTTGCTTATGTTTGCATCTCTTCCTTTGCTGTTCATATTCGATTTATTCCCTTGTTAACATTTCCAGAATCCGCTACTTGTTGCAGTTTGCTTGTAACTTACCTATAGGAAATTGGTTTACTTAAATGTCAAACAGACAAAAATTGAAGGAAGTATTAGTTAACAAGAATTCAACTTGATATGATCAAAAATAAACTTTGTACATAAAAATGTGATACTGAGTATTAATATGGAGTGCATGGAAATGTGTGTTTGTGCATGCATTAGGATGTGCACATGGTAAAGTAAAAAGCAAGCATATAGCATATTTTGTATATTTGCTACCAACAATATTTTTTAATAAAAACATATATCAAGTAAAGAAGTAAGTCAGAAAAGTGAAGTTAGATTGCGGGATTGTTAGTTTAGCCATAAGGAGCGATATATTAAAGTGAATTTAATAGAAATAAGGAGAATAATTTGTCTTGTCAAAGGGTGTTCTAAAGTAATTGAACCAATCTGCGTGGACTTTGACAAAAAGGAGACAATTATTTAAAGTTCAAGATACAACTGTGGTAACTCACGGGGTAACATAAATGAATTTATTGCAGATTGTACTGTAAGAAACAGTATAAAGAATAATAATTCGTCTTGTCAACTGGATTCTAAAGTAACTGATTTAGCCTCTGTGGACTTTTGACAAGAAAAGAGAATTATCTAAAGCTTTAAATACAACTGCGATATCCTATAGTGTAAAGAATTTTGTACGTACATTTGACTTGTTTTGGATATATTATTTTAAAACAAGTATATTGTGTTCTGTCCGTTTGTTTAAATTTATCACCAGCAAGTCACAGACACCTACTGTAGAAGAATCCCAAGCCCCAAAAATATATTGTTACAACAGCGGAAGTCACGTGACCCTGGGAACACGTGATGAGTTTCTAGAAGGATCGGAGAACATCATGAATAATCCAGTATTTGCTAGACGCCCTCTATTCCTGTATATAAGCGCGCCAGATAAAGCGAGACGAATTAATCGGAACTTGAATTGCAGATAGGCAGAGACGAACAATTGAATCAAGCGCGCTAATGACCGTAAGTAACGTGCGTGAATCGTTGTGAATTATAGCGTGTGTTTAAGTTAAAGTGACTGTGGAAATTAAATGTATTACAAAGTTGTATTGAGAAAGAATAAACTAGTTTTATTTAAGAAAGGACTTGTATCGCTGAAGTTCTTCGGAAAGAATTTCTACGGAATATTAACAAACGACCAGAAACGTAACAATGTGTTTTTTAGTACACATGATATCACATTTAAATTATTGATGTATTAAAAATTCACATCAGTAACTTCAGAAAGTTATGATTCATACTATGCTGTTTGTTTATTCTATAGACATTAACAGCAAAAAACCAGATGTTATGTAAGATTCTTATTAGCTCAATAAATTATAAGCTTGTTAATCAAAGTTCTAAAGTTCAAATAATAATGCAGTGCTACAAAATGCCTATGTTGGCAAAACACTGGAATGACAATCGTACTGTTATTTAATAAGATCAAAATAAAAGTTATTTGAAATGGAAAAATTTCAGATGTGGACATCTGCATAATTTATGAAGTCCTGTATTTTTCATGTTGGAAATATTTTTCAGACTGATGTAGATTCGTATAGAAAAAATTTGGTGTAGGTAAAATGGTAAGATACACCAGTAATGTACTTACTAAAATGCAAATGATTTGATGATTAGCCGAGAACGAGCAGTTGTGTATGCTGAATAACAGAATGTATTTGTGATACAAATGAAGTATTAGTTGTAGGCTAAGTTACCTTCCTGCATCCTTATGTATATTTTCTTTGAAACTTACACACTGGAACCTGTTTGTAATGATCGTTGTAATTACTGAAGTGTAAAATATCTTGACACGCAAAGAATATATATAGTAGAGAAAGGTTACACAGATTTAAATCAATAAAGACAAATAAGTGTCCATATTGCACGAGCATTGAGACAGTGAAACATCTCTTATTTAACCGTCCTAATGTTAAGGTTTATTGGAGAAAAGTTTCAGTTACCTTTAAGGTCAGACCTCTCAGTTACACAACTGTCTTATTTCATAATCCATTACATGTCACTAAAAACATATTTTTTTCTTTTATCTTATTTGTGAGTGAATTAAGATATCAGATTTGGGCATCCAGATGTAGAGCAGTGTATGACAACTTAAGAGAAAGTGCACCAGTAGTAATGAGAAGGGTAAGATCAAACATAAGAATAAGAGTGAGTTACGATCATAGACGGCTCATGGAGGCAGAGTTCAATAACAGATGGATACTGGAAGAAACATGTTTGTTCACCAAATGTGGAGGTCTACTGAATTTCAAGTTCTGATAGGTTCACTTTGTCCAACAAGCACCATGTTCTATTTCAAGTGACTAAAAAGTTGCGGCAGCCCAACAATAGTTGGAGGTGTTAACTGATAGAATGTGAAGGTTGCAATCTTGTTTCTATTTTGTGTAATACTGTGAGAGGAAAGAACACAATGGGAAGTATAACTTTTCTTATTCATCTATCCTTTCTTCCAGTACTATCCATTAAAGTTAACTTTAACTGTGCTGATAAGGGTCGAGGTAGGTGAATCTTTACCTACTCTCCATACCTCTAAACAGCATCTCGTTTATTTTAAAGAAATGTTTTACATGTCTAATCTAGTTTTACATTGCAGGTTTAATTTACGTGCACTGTTAAGGGGCAAGAAAGGTGAATTTATACCTTTTCTTTATACCTTTATTCAGTATTTAATTACACCGGTGCATCGAGTAAAAATTTGTGGAAAACTAATATTAAGGTACTAGTTATTACAGCTGAAAAGGTATAAAAGTAGAATTAAGTATCTGTTTTTGCCACAAAAACATGATGAACTATGTTGTTGCAAATAATTCTCTGAGCTATTTCATCCCTCCAGATTCTGGGGTCCAAGGAAAGCCTGATCTTTTAATGTTGTGTGCCTGAAGAAAATACTCCAATTAAGTTGTTTTGGGTCCATTTTTGTGTTGGTAAATAAACAAATTGAAATTACCTTTATGTATTTAAATATAACTTCATTTAGATTGTAATATTTCAAGCCATTCTTTGTACAACACTCGTGAATAGCCAAGGCATATAAAATCTGCTGGTTATTTTACCTGTTTTTACTTTTATTAGGCCTCTTAGTATTTAAAATTTTGAAAATGAGCTGATTTTTGTAATAGTAATAAAAAAAATTAACTGAAAAGCATGTAAGTTTTAACTAGTAAGCATATACATAGCTAATCTCCTAGGATTAAGAAAAAATTTTTACATCCTTTTGGTTCCATTTTGTTTTTACTTCCTGATTTGAGAGGAGACACCTATATTACATATTTGTTTTATTTATGAAATTTGCTATAAAAAAGAAAAATTTGTTTACAGTTGATGTTAACATTTTCTGTAACCTAAGAAACCAAATTATTACAAATATTAATTGTGATGATTAGAAAAACAAGACTCAACAATGTACTTTTAATAAAACAAGACTCAACAATGTACTTATTATAAAACAAGACTCAACACTGTACTTTTAATAAAACAAGACTCAACAATGTACTTTTAATAAAACAAGACTCAACAATGTACTTTTAATAAAATGAGACTACACAACCTGGAGTTTCTCCACAAAATTGGTTTTCATTCAATGTCTATAAGGAAGAACATTTTTTTTTGTTATCTGCATTGCTAAGCTTTTTGAAAAGAGTGACTAGGTATTTTTTTGTAATTTAAATATTTCATTCAACTGCTCTTATTAATGCTTCATGAACCTCAACAGCAATATTAGCTTCAGTTCTTGCTTCATCAGTGGTTGCTGATCCAAGATCTTGTTGAGCCTTGTGGAGGCCTTCTCTACATGCCTGGAATGAAATATAAATCTTCTTATTGAATGTGTAGTGTACAACAAAATTGTATTTACTGATCAGTTGTTTTTATCTTTGAAATATCTGACATTGTCTTCTTAACTTGTCCATTTAAAAAAAATAAAATAAAATTTAACCATTCATGAAATGAAAAGCATGCCACTATAAATGTTCATTAGTTTTTTTTGTACTTGGAACAACATGGTTAAAGAAACAAAATATTAATATTATAAATGAAAAAAGAACTTAAAAGATGGCTTAAGCTTTTTTTTCTTTTTTCAAATATTGTTAAGCATTATTTAATGTACACTGTATATTCAAAATTGTTAAACCTATTCAGTCTGGTGAGTGCTTTCAGGTGCCAAGTGCACACCTGCGTATCAACTTTCAAAATGTAAGTAATTTTACCTCTACATCAACAATTATTTACTCATAAATATTTTGAAATTAATATTTCATCATTTTGTATCATTTATTCAGTGTACATAACAAAGCAAATGAAAAAAAACGATCAAATTTCTGCAGAGCTGTGATTTTTTTGGCCCATCTCATAGTATATATTTGCTAAGAAACAATCATCCCTTGTGAGTATAATTCTAAAGGATTTCTTTCTCATGGGATTTTCCTTCTCTTTCTCTGATTTTTATCAGTACAGTATAAATAATGTGTTTCTGGTTTTGTCAGAAAGTGATTACATGCAAGTCTTGCAGAGAAGAACAATAATAGAATTTAGTAGGAAGTTTAGAAGACTTAGAAACAAACCACAGAACTGGGAATTTGTTTTTTTTTAAGTGTTCTTTTCATTCCTGGAAATTTTTGTGCTAAATTATATTTGTTTTCAAGCTATGAAAATTTTCTTCTATGATAAGACATCACGTAAGCCTGGTTAGGTTTAGAGTACAATAGGTGATAGCAAAATATCCTGATAACTCAAATCCTTTTTTTATTGAATATTATTGCCAAGTTTATCATATTTAAACAATATGTTATGTAACTAAAAATAAACTATATTTATTAAATACAAATTGATTTTAACCAAGAATACTATTATCTAGCATGACCCGATACCATAGTGACAGTTTAGGTCAAAGTGCACCAATAAATCTTTGTCACATTTTACTGTTTTTTACTTATAGCCTCAAATAGTAACTGCTATAACTGGCAAGTTAAAGTAGCAAAAGAAACATGTTAATATCAACCAAGTTGAAACTTATTGTATATGTATGCATAAATACACACATATATTGGAACATTCTGATCAACAATGAAAAACATAAAATTCTAGGACAAAAGGAAATACTTGTAATGGTTTTTCAAAACAGTGTCTCTCAAGAAAGTTTTCAAAATTTCACAACATAAAAAGATTATAATAAAAGTCACATTATATGATTTTTAAGCCAAAACTAAATAATATTTTGTATTTCCTGCAATTTCTTTAAGTATTTCCATTATGAAAGGTAAAAAAAAAAAACATTAATGGATGTCAACGATACCCATACCAGCCTGGAAAGGATTAATTTTTCTTTATCTTCTTCCTACCAATGACTAGAGCATGTAGTGAAAGTTAACTTTGTATCTTGGGCAATATTTCAAGAAAACTGAACATCAATAATATGTGAAATTCCTGTCCAAGTATTAACATACTTTTAAGCTGAAAGAATTTTACTAAACCTATACCATGATATTTTATAAATCTGTTGCTTTTAGCAAATACAAACCTGAGGATCAAGGTTTTCAACTGGAACAGCCTCCTCAGCTAAAACTTGTACAGACGAGTCATTGTTAATCGTCACAGATCCACTACTTACTGAAAGAATAGAATATTAAAACACTCAAGCACCACAGAATTAGAAATAATAAATTTATTACCCAAAAACTATATTATAAAAAAAAAAAGAACTTTTTCTTTCCCCTAGTTGAATTTTGATTAGATTTGATTTGCTTGTAGCCAGACTTCACTTAAATTAAGGGAATCCTAATACGAATAGAGAAAAGTTTAATACCAGTGTTATATCTCGTATAAAATGCTTTGGTAAAATAATCTCACCATCATTACATTTCATAAAAAAATGTAATGACAAGTTATAAAGTACATAAAACATGATGTTCATAAACTTATGGTGATATACATAATACAAGGTATCAAAAGGCAAGTCTTAAAGAACAAGAAAACCTACCAGTGTTAAATTATCAACATATTTGAGTATATGCATATCTTTTTCATCTGTAAAAAAAAAGCACAAATGCAATTCTGCCTTTAGAAATATTCATAAAAAATTAAATATTTACAAGACTCATCCACTGAAATTACATTTGTTTATTAACTCTGATTTTAAACAGTATTTGTCAAACTTCAGATAGAATGCAATAATGTCCCTCTGATAAATTACCTAAGGTTATCAGAATTTTTTAAAACAGGTTTACACCAAAAACATTGAATTTTTAAAAAAGTAATACAAAATTCCATATCAAATACAGCCTGTTAATTAGGGAATAAAATTAATTTTATGAACTTCAATCAATAACAGTGAATTTGAAACTTAATTTTTCTCATTTTATGCATAAATTCAAAAAATAGCCAAAAAATCATACCCAACTATGAAAATTATATTTTGTTGCATATTAAAACAAAACATTGTACTTCCATTATTATTACTAGCACATCTGCAGTTTTCTCAAAAACTTTTAAATTGAAACATAAAGCATCCACTTCAATTAATTGACTAGAAAATTTAATTCCTATCTAGTATTGGCCGACATTACTATTAAATGCAACTCTTTCTGTAAGTCTTTTACCATGCTAGAAAAATAAACCTTAAACGGAGCTAATCTGCCTTTTACAAATCTTCAGATTACTGTACAAAGAAATTGGAGGTCTTTATTCTATTGATCCCAAAAATAATATTGTAAACTTCAATAAGATCACCTCATACTCTTCTTTCTCAATAGAAAAAAATACCCTAGTCTATATCTGTAGAATAACCCTTCCATCACTGGAATCATTCTAATAGCCTTCATCTGAACTTTTACCAATAAGTCAATATCCTTTCTATATAAGGAGGCCAAAACTGGGTACAATATTCCAAGTGAGGCCTAACTAATTAATTGTATATAGAGCCAATTTCCTCTATTGACTTGTACTCACTGTGTCTACAAATATACACCAAAGTTCAGTTAGATTTACAACTAGCAACATGGCTTAAGTGATTTATCCACTACTATGCCAATATTATTTTCTAAAGACATGCTATCGAGTTTGGTTCCCATGTATATTAAATATATTTTCTAACTTATAACCAAATGCATTACCTTGTATTTACTATACTTAAATTATTTTCCAAATATTTGCCCAACTTGCCAATTGAATCAAGTCATTCTGTAATACCTCAATATAGTAAAAAATACTCAAAGATTTTAATGTAATCAGCAAATTTTTCTAATTATCCCCTGTCAATATCATTGAAGTATATCAGAAAGAGCAAAGGAATGATCCTTGAAATAATCCACTAGTAGCCTTTTGCTTTTCCTTTTCAACCACACCACAAAAGTACAATATAATTAAATAATCTTTCCCAAGCCCCTACCAGTGTGATTTTATTAGCTAATCTTTTGTATGAAGCCTAATCAATTGCTTTCTTGAAAATCAAAGTACAATGAGAACACACTTTCCCTGATCCAAGAAAGGGAAACATATTTGTAAAGCATAATTTCCCTTTGGCAAATCCATGTTGGCTTTCATTTATAGTTCGTAGCTTCTTGTACCAGGTTCTAGAATTCTTTCACTATATACAGAATTAAGACTAATTGGCTTATGATTTCCAGAGTAACTATTAGTATTATCACTCCTCTTTTACAATAGGAGTAACATAACTAAGCAACTCTCCAAGTTTTAGGCACTTGCCCACTCTCTACTGACATACCAAAAATGAATGAGAAAGACTCAGTATATAACTTTTGACCTTAATAAAACACTGGGGTAAAGCTTGTCTGGCACTGGCATTTTGTCTACTTTTAATATCTCATTCTTTCTAATTACCACCAAGAATTATCTACATGATTCAGGTCAATTACAATAATTACCACAGAAAAATGAGAAATAACTCAAAGCAATTCAAAACTTTTAAAATTTAATTTTATGCATATCAGGTGTCATAAGCTATTTTATATTACATTTTTACAATGATATTAATAAATTCATACCAAAGAATTTTTTAAATGAACCATCTTGTTCATATACTGTTACAACACCAGGTTTTAGCATGGCAATGGCTGGAACGTGATTTGGTAAAATACCAAAACTACCACTATATGATGGTATATCAACTTGCTTTATGTCTGACTGATTATAAAATACCTGAAATAGAAAAAATAAATACGTAAAAACTCGAGCGTTTACAGTATTTTAGCAACTTTCTAAATACATCACGCTCATTTGTAAACATGAATTATTCCATATATATATTAATTATAATGTTCATAATATTAATAATAACAGTAACCTTGCAAAACACACATCTAAGTTACAACCCAGAGAGAGTAATTTTGATTATAATGTTTAAGAGTTGCCAGCCCTGTCTCCTTAAACTGACTTCGTAGTACCACTAACTATTATGTACTGAGTGAGAATTAGTAAAGTTGGATTCTTACTACTAACACTATTACTAATCATAATGATCATTATATGGTAACCTTGGTAGTAGAAGCAAAAGTAAGCGGCATTTGAGCTTCAGCATATCCCCGTGACTGTGTCATCTTAACTGCCGTGTAACTGATTTGAGGCCTGAGGAACTGGGAAAATCTTGAAGATAAACGTAAAATCAACATGTTCAAAGATTTCTCAAAGTAAGTAGGCCTGATGCTTTTACTTTCGAACGTAAATAATATGGATTAATTAAAATGATCGTCCTGGCGACAATATTTCTGATAAAAATTTGTAGAGGGCGAATAAACGTAAAATGATAAAATACTGAGAGGGATGAAGATAAAAACTACAGAAAATAATTTTAATATATACACATTTTTAAACTCTTTTGTCTGAAAAAGAGAGTGAAACTATTCATATTTCCAGCTCAATTTAACACAGAGATTTTTTTTTCGGCGTTATGAGTTCTATAATAATAAAAAAAAAAGAATCACATTAGTTAACAAATCCCACACTATAACCAGCTAAAGTCTAAAGTTTCGAAAACTTTCAGACCATAGTTGGTCAATTGTTTTGCAGTTTTTGTTATGTCTCAATACCTTTGTATATATACTCTTGTGTTTTTCTTTATCTGTGTATTAGAATGTATGTACCAGGAGCCGAATTCGCTTCGTTTAGTCGGCCTTGACCAGTTAGGGCGTCTGAGAGCCAGCTAAAATAGCAAATAATAATAATATAATCGGCTCATCAGTATTTTTTTTTTTCGTCTGTTGAAAGTATCATCTTATTTCGAATTTCCAAATGGAGTGTTGCGTCATCGAGATCATGTGATTCTCACGCCCTCTACTTTCTAGAACTATTCCGTATCTTGGCGAATGCTCTAGTATTGACTAGATAGAGGGTAGACTGGTATATATAAGAGGGGGACAACGTGGCACGGGAATGTAATGTGTGGTAGATAGTGAGTAATTGAACTGCAGTCACAGGGTATTGTTGAAGTTAACGTTCGTTCGTTACAGTGTTGTTTTAGCGCGAGTATTGAGATTAAGTGTATCGCAGAGTTATATTCGGAAAGAATAAACCAGTTTTATTAAGTAAAGACTTGTGTCGTTAAAGTTTCGTTGGAACAAGTTACGGAAGTTAATTAACAAACGGAGACGTAACAATATGTATATATATATATATATGTATAATACAAAATAATACATATTAAACATTATAACCAATACTGTTAGTGACACTAGCATTATAGAGGTAGAATATACCTTACTTACAAAACACACAAATACTATCTGCTTCATGCACTATTACCAAATCCCCGTCTCTTGACAACCATAACATCAGTATGGATGAATCTTTGTATAATCCTAACAATGTCTAAATGGCTCCAAAATTAAAACTTTAGAGTAGCTGAACATCTTGTATGAATTACCTAACTTGTTACTGTTTAGTTATAGAGGGTTAACAAGATGGTAGTGATAGTATGGAAAAAACAAAGTTAAGATGTTGACAATATAATATGTACATTCAAGAATTAAATGCTTGTTAGTGTATACAGTCTTGTCAAATGGTCATTATTGTTGCTGTCATCGTACTTCTGTTCATCGTTATCTTCAATACATCTATATAGCTATTTTCCCTGTAGTTGCTGTAAGACAATTTGGTCAAAGCATACAATTGTGTTTTCAAGTAAAAAAATGTAGCATTTAAGAATTTGGATATTG